ACTTGTTAGGTGACACATTATGAATCAAGCTTTAAACATTCCAAACTAACAGACAGCTGAGATTAGAAAATAGCATGCACATTCAAACAAGAATTCAGCATAGCCCTGCAGATGTAACATTCATTGTACAATGGAAAACAAAGCTCTTTAACAATGTCCAAATGTACACTGTGGCCTAATGGTGGTGCCACATGAAAAGGCCATGTTTCTCTACTACAGTGGCCATTTTAGGAGGCTCAGCTTGTCAAGTTCATCTTTCAGGTCTAAGCAGGAAAGAACATCAGCCCTGAGCTGTACTTCTGTACTTGCTCAGATGCCCTTGTGTTTATGTAATGTGAGGGTTTCCACCACCAGTACTATTAATCAGTTTGCCCAACACAGTACAGGGGGTGCAGTGGTTAGCAGTGCCACCCCACTGCAAAAAGCGTGGGGCTGACCAGGGCCTTTCTGTTTTCAGTCTGCGTGCTCTTCCTGTGCCTGTGTGGGTGTGCCGGCTTCCTCCCACAGTCTACAAACATGCAGGTTAAGTTGACCGATGACTCTAAATTGACCCTAGCTGTGAATGTGAGTGGTTGCCAACAACGGTAACGGTATGGTCTAGTAAATGCAGATGCTCAGAATGACCAGTGACAACTCAAGGAAACAGTCACAGTCAAATTATGACGTCTAATCAAACTAGTTCCAACTGATAACTACGTTTTTGATATTTTCATGATTTTTAGTTTAGAACTTTTTCTTGCACAAATGTCTAACTTCTGAAACAGTAAATCTTATCCAACAAACAGAAATTAAATATGATCTGTCAGCAGACAACTGAGCCAGAAGAAAAGTGAAAAAAATCCAGGTACAGTGACCAATTGAGTCTTCTGTAGAAAAATGCTTCTAGAAATGAATAAGGCATGTGTAATATGATGAAAAGGCTTAAGGTCTGTTCATTTCAATGTTTTAGAAACATCTGGCGATCACAATTTGCACTGTGTAGTAAAGGTGACATATGAGATAAAGAAATGCAAATCACTCTTGGCTTTTATAAAGGTATCTGTTACACTCCAGTGCCCACACAAGAGCAATATATCTAGTGTGGTTTGGTGATGCCAGCTATGAAACTGCTTCCTCCTTGCTCCCAGAGTCCTAGACACCATTTTTTCTGCTAATGCAGATGTAGTCGATAATAGAGGAAAGGGCCCACAGCTAAGTACACCCTCTAGTATACACACTATTGTTCCTGCTCTACACTGCTGCTGTCTTTCCAGATATGAAATATAGGCCAGTGTGGCTCACTTGTGTCTCAGGTTTCAGGCCCACTCCTCGTGACAAACAGATTATGAGCTCTATTTTCCTGTAAGTGCAATTTCTGCATGGCCTCGTTCATTACGCACGTCGGGCGCATGTCTGCTATTTTTTTTTTTTTTTTTTTTTTTTTTTTTTTTTTTTTTTGCACATTGGTGTGTTTGGTATTTACCTGCTATGAATGAATGAATGCACTTAACGCTGAGGTGGGAGAAGACACGCACCTGAGGCCATGTGTATGCTAATTAGGCAGCGCGGTGCAGTTTTGGTGCTGAAATAAAGACCACATCTTATCACTGTTGCAGGTGTACCTACAGTTTTCCTGACAAATGCATAGATCAGGTACAACATGGATTCTAATGGCCACAACAACTTAGAATTAACCCTTAAATCCACAAGTGATGTGCTGGAATTCATTCTGAATAATTTATTGTTTATCATGAAGATTATTTTTAAATAATATGATAAAGAAACTAATCTTTGTGCGCTTCAAGACCCACCATCTGTAGCCTACTCACAGGATGCAGCCAGAGGTGATCTGCAGTCAGTGTTTGGAAATCCAAATCCACATTAAAAATTACACACACTAACACATGAAAGCAGCTCATGAGCCAAGATAAATAGCAAACACCCTACAGACGTCTTCATTAATCCTGTTACGCAGCAGGTAAAGTCAGTCCGACCACACTGTGGCTGCTGTCACTCTTAAGGTAGAGTTTCTTCAGATGAACAAGTTACACACACACATACCTTCATCACTACCATTAATACTACACGTTGTGTCTGTTTTTGCATTTTATGGTGGTTTGACAGCTTTGAAAGCAGCAGATGGAGATAAAGTAGACGACACATCCACTGGCTGTGAGCTCTGATGGACCACAATCAGTTTCACCATAAACACTGTGATTACAACATGATTTCATTGTATTATTTTAAAAACAGTGAAACGTTTAGAAGGTTACGTGAGACCCCTGTGGATTTCACTCACTATATACAGCTGTGAGTAAATGACACCATACAACTGCTGCTGGTTACAAGGTCAGACTTTTTTCTTCCATGCACAAACGTTGGTCAGTGATATTAGCAGACTGCTGAGTGAATATTTACGTGCACTACTTCTACTTAAACTGTTTTGTCACTGTCAATTTAAGAATGGAGAACATAACTGGCAGGAGAAGACGATACAGGGAAAGAAACTCGCCTCTTGTGTATATACATATATATGACATCAGTGGCGTCAGTCAGGTTTCTGCCCTGCTCCTTAGAGGGGATGAGAGGAGCTGGTTTGATTGGACACAACTAAAGCCAGCCCTGGCTCCACCTGCTCACCTGCATTCCTCTATAATAATGTATTCCACCCCACCTATAAAATGCACTCAGTAACACTTGGCTGTGCACAAAACTGTGCTGCGTCTGTGGTCACCAAATTTACAAAACACAGTTGAACACGCCCATATTCGCCCTGCACCTGGAGTTTAGACACAAGTTTAGCACCGCACCTTCTTGCAGGAAACCAGAGCCTGAGGTCTCATTTAGGGGCACGTGTGCAGGTACTCTGGGAGATGGCCGAGTGTGAACAGAGATGCACTACAGCTCACATACTGATGCTCTCTTTCATCTTCATCCAAGTAGTGTATTTTGCACTTAAAATACATACGGTCTGCAGCTAACCACAACTGCAGGGCCAATTTCAATAATCAGCTAGAAATGTTCTCCCTACCTCCCACCTCTCCTGCTGGGCTGTCTCCTGCCACAACTGCTCCTCTATAAAAAGGTGTCATGACATCACACACAATTAGAAATTCCAGTTAGAACAGAATATCTACCTAGATTTAAGGGGCCACCTAAGACCAGTGAAGTAATTAATCCCTCTGCTCATCACAGTTGTGTATCAGTGATGGTGTCACGTGAACCCTTGTTACTGGTTCCAGTGGGGTCTGATGTTGTTGGCCATAACAAAGCCAGGCTGCTCACATATTCTGGAAGCCAAGATTGACCTACAATTGTTTACAACTTACAAAGTCTAGTTGAATGAAACATTTCTTAAGGCTTGGCACCTGTCACAACAGGTGAAGCAGGTGAAACATGGAAAACGTTGTGTGCCCCTGCAACTTGCCTACAATCTCCTGTAGAAGGCAATAACCTGTTCTATTTAAGGTGCACAGAAAAACAGCCTCTAAAAATCTACATATACAACTAATTCAGTCTGATAATGAATGGTTGGTTTAAATGATGTTCAATAAAATCTGAACTGTATCACACAGAAGAAAACCATCAAATCAACAACATTTACAAGGACACCTGCAGTACTTTACCAAATAAGTCAAGCTCTGGGTTCCCATCTGATTACCCAGAAGCAATACAACATCCTCTCCTTACTTACTCATCTCTGACACACAGACACATCCAGAACCCCCCCGCCTTGCTCTCAGATAAAGTAATTACTTTAGAGTGACAGTGACTAACAGTGTATACGAGGCTCACCACAGCAGAGCTGCTTATTTAAACTGCAATCGGTAGTAGCGGTCATCACTTGTGTGTCAGAGTCGTCTTCACCTGAGCCTCGTCTTAGCGGTGTTTTACGCACAGAGCTCACCTTACTACCCGTCTTCTCTTTGTATGATGGAAATGCTTTTTAACTGCATGGTGTTGCGTTTAAGGTGACGCCAGAGGAAGCCATGTCATGGAGGACAAATGTCATCATACGGGATACAAGGGCAGCTCATTTTTCTTTTGGCAATGCGCTTCCATACGTTGTCATCAGAGGTGGTCGGGAGTTTATGTACGTTTCTGAATCAGCCCAATTATTTTTACAGCACACAAGTTGCATCTTAGGAGGAGACGGATTATTGAGTAGACTACTGGAATTACTTCATTACTTTGTCTTCACTAGTGTGTAACTCTGATCTGAGTTCAAATGAATGAGGAGCAGAGAAGTAATAACATCAGTAAGAAATACTGATTTGATCTAGGTACAGGTTTCACTTTTTAAAAGTCAACTTCTCAAAGTCGGATCCTAAATACATGACCATACAAAACTATGATCTATCAAAAAAATGATCCACCAAAATGGATGTTTCCTCGGACTTTGGTTTAATGAACCGAGTGAAGCTTCATTACTTCACAGAGAAGAGATACAAAAAAGATGCATGTTGCCCTGTTTAATTAATATACTGTATCTTGCATTTGCCTTTTATATAGTCCTGGATGCAGAACTGTTAAATGCTCATTAATTAGGATTTAGTTCCTGATATTTTCCTGTATTGTAGGGCTGTACGTTATTTTCATTATCAAATTAGCTGTCAATTTTTTTTATTAATTCTAAAATGTCAGGAAAAAGGGAACAACATCCATCACAGTTTGCCACCACCCATGCTAATATCTTAATAGGATAATAAAAATATTTTGCTGCCTTTTTTTATAGAGAGCAGTATTTTAACCTTCTTATCTACTTTAAGATCATTTTACTGTAAATACGTTGTAATACAGTGTACTATCTCAACACTACTGAATAACTGTGTGTGAGAAAGGGATACTTCCAGCATTCTACATATTACCTTGAACATACTGTAGGATGTCTTTACAACAACTTCTAAGGCACTGACTGAGTGACAGATGTCATGTATGCGACCGATCATTTTAAACTGGAATTATGTTTAACTGGAATTCATTTTAAAACACCCGCATACACGTATATGCTATAATGTATGTTAGCACACACAGTTTTTTAGAACCTCACCACATCCTTATCACTCAGTCTACTCGCAGGTTACATCTGAATTTTATTCTACTGTATCGTATTTTCAGCATCCTATTGTGGCACACGCCCTGTTTGTCTTTGCCGTAGCTGTTGGGTCTTCATAACTGCGACTGAGCGATGCTGGTCAGACTGTTCCGGGTGACCTGCCCCAGTCAATAGGAGAGGAAATGTGGCTGCGTCAGCAGGTCTGGCAGAGGGGATGTGAACCCACGTAGAGAGAGCAGCACTACATAGAGTAGATACTCAGCAGCAGCAGCGCTGGCTTTGTCGCCTGGTATGTTTTCTCCTCCATTAGGTCAATCTGAATCAGTTTATTAAGCCAGAAACCCCAGCTGTCTACGTCATACTGACATCAGCATTACAGAGCAGTAAACATGCTAATGAGTTTTACTGAAATGTAAAGAAGAATGAATCCACTCAGTTCTCCCTAATACAAGTTGTCATCACAAACATCCACCTTCAAAGATACTGATCTATAATGGTTAACTACTCTCTACTCACAGATATATGGAGTCAGCCCAGTACTGGACATTTTTTACACATTTTCTGCTGCAACATACTGTAAATGCCAATCTGTCCACCGATGGCTGCAGTACGTGCACCTACTGGCCCTCTAAAGTGAGGCCCATTATTCCTTCATGTCTGTCCCCCGCATCCTAATTAAAGTCAGCGTGGAAGGGAAGATTTCTCAAACTGCAAGATTACTGCCATTCTCCTGCTTTGTGGGAACTGGGCTATTGACCCACACATGAGTATCAGAGAGGACAAAGCAGAGAATGAGACAAACACACACAAAAAACCCAAAGGTCTTTCCTTCTCCTTCTCTCAGCCCAGACTACAGGAAGACAAAGAGGCATTTATTCCAAGCCTCTCTACCCCCTCCAGACACTGCAACCAATGGGCTTTTTCATGAACCAGTCTGCTCACATTCTCCAGTTCACATCCAGAGCCACTACGTCCGGAACAGAACAATCTGTCCTTCTGAAAGACCTGCAGACTCACTTAACATAGCCTTTTGGGTCTGACCAGCATGAAGGTGGAGTCACTTTCATTTCTGGAGCAGGTAGACTGATGAAACGGAATCGTGACATGCCCACTGCAAGTTATATCAGCTTTGTTCTAATATTTCCTGTGAAAATCACGTTGAGGAATCAAGCTCAAGAGCCAGATTTAACCAAACACATTTTTATTAGATTGTATGTTCTGACAGCTTGACTGATGTTGCACACTGTTGAATGATCCACCGTACAGCTCATACATCCCTAAAGAGGTCTCCAAACAGCCACCGTTTAAGAACAGGGTAGTGAACGTTTTCAGGGACAGTGACTGTCCAAATGAATGTAATGATAACATCATGCTGATTATCTTGCCCGTGAAATGTATAACTGGTCGACTTCATTGAGTAAAAAGATTAAATATGCTTCGAGTGATTAGAAATCACAGATTAAAAGAATGTCTCCAGGGAGGTCTCAGTGGGATCCACACAGTGACTGTATGTCCAGTGGAAGAACAGAGCCTGTTATCTAAGTTCACACTGCTAAAAGAGACAATGCTGACAGCAGAACATTAAAGTTCGAGTCTGAGTCACCAAAGAATAGTCAAAGTCGAGGCCCTGAGTCATCAAGGTCTACATTAAAGACAATTAACACAAATCTCACCATTTTAAAAGGAGTTTACTTACTGCGTGTGACGCAACAACCAAACAAACGCACTCGTAAGCGCACACACACACACACACCACCTAAAAGTGAGCATGGTGATTTTTTTTTTTTGTTGATATTCTGGATGTGTAAATGAAATGATCATAACTGCTGTTAACAAAACATCATTTGCTGGATTGCAGGTATCAAATCCTGAGATTCCAAACTTTCAAGCAGTGTACTGCATCACCGTACGGCTCGGCAATCTGGTACATAAAAATCATTTCTTAGAAAGGCTTTTAAAAAGGAGTCGATTTAAGATTTTTTTATGACCATAAAGTGCTTTGATGAGGAATCACCTCACACAGTTATGATATGGCAGCTCAGAAGAGCCACCTAGCTTGTTGTCTAGTCACCCGTGGCATGAGGAAGGAAGGGGGAGATGACTAAATTAGGCCAAACAGTAAATATTTCAGGAAGCCTTATCCATTATTGACGAATGGCTTTACCTTGCAAAGCAGACTACGTATCGAGTATCTTTCCAGACTGCTCTCGGCCAGAGCCCTCACTCTGTGCACTGAATAGCTCGAGGAATGTGGGACGCTCTGCACTAGGTGGCCACAGAATCTATTACTGGAGGTTCTGCAGAAAACTGTTATTGTCATTTACTATTAATTATTTTATAATGACACTATAATTATGTCTCTTCAAAAGGGGCTGTTTTTAAATCTGGTTTAATCTGGTCACATAAATAAATAACAGGCTTTGTCCTACATATATACACATATATATATATCTATCTATCTATCTATATATATATATATATATACACTCTTGTACAAATTTTTTGACACACACCCTA